AAGTACACTTTCCTATAAATGTAGGCAGAAACTCAATCTACTTCTTTGTTCCTTGGGAATGACAGTTCTCACAAACAGTACGAGTGCAAGAGAAATCTATGGTCTAATTAACTCTCTTCAGTGACCCTTCAGATATCTGATGTTACTTCCATGGTTTAACAGACTGCCTTCAAGTTCAACACTCCACAATTTGGGCTAAGAAATTGATGCAATTATCATTTTAATCATGTTAACACTTGAGTGGTACATGGTTATTTTTTTGATACAAACCTTTCGTTTCCCCAGCTAGAATCCTTCATTGTCCTATAAACCACTTGGCTACTTTGCTACTTAGAGACTTATTGTACACTATATTTTCTACCAAGACATCTTCCAAAATTGACATTTCCCACAAAGTGTTTGGAAATAAAGACCTTATGCACCTCTGGACCAGTTACTTCTTTCTCTTTTGCTTCTACCTTGTGTCTTCAGCTCTGATAGACAGTTTAGAACATCCGCTTGTGTTTCTTGTTCTAGTTCTCACATAACAAAAAGGACAATCAGAAAATTTTGGGTCAAAAATCAGCACCTGGACCATCAATAATAGCATGATCAAGGTCTAGTTCAGAGTTTAGGCAAGGACTTCCAGTGTATGTAGTAAAGTTCAGAACAGTTCTGGCATTGGTTATATTATCAAGTGGTCAATTGAAGAATTAATTGCGAGGAACAGTTCAGCCAGCTGTAGGGATGTTATTTCAGCATTTGTCCAGACAAAAGCTTTTATTCCAGACCGCCTGGTCTCCAGCCAGTCACATTTGGGCTGGATTGATTAAATTATAGTTGCTGGAGTACATCTGAATAGATCAACAGTCCAAAGAACTATTCCTAGAAGTCTGTCATCTCCTTGCTCTCTAACTTGGGGAACAAAATGGTGTTATGGATTTAGTGAACATTTGCTTTACAATCTGAATGCAGGCCTGAGAGGGTGGAAGTTTTGCTAAGACCTGGCATCCTCAAACTGTTTCTTTTCAAACAGCTCCTGCTACTCCTGCTACTCCTTTAAGATTAATCTGCGGGAACCATAAGATATCCAGTCCCCACAGATTCCTATATAGAGCAATGGGTGGAATATAACTTTGGTATGGCTTCCTTTCCCCTTCAGCATTGGAGGCCATTATTTAGCAGAAACAGAAAGCAGTAAATGCTGTTTTAATCCTTTAAGGGAGAATTCTCAATCTTGGCCACTTTAAGAGATGTGAACTTCAACTCCCAGAATTCCCTAGCTGGGGAATTCTGGGAGTCAAAGTCCACATCTCTTAAAGTGATCAAGGTAGAGAAACACTGCTTTAAGGAGATATGATAGCCTATCTATATTTTTACTCCAAAGAAGATTTGTACCCTTGCTTAATTAATTACTATTTTGAGCATTCAAAACATATCTTAGTAAATGTGCATCAAATTGTGGTTTCAAATGGATTCATTATCATGAAGCAATGACATGGTTTTTCCTTCATCATTTCATTGCATTTGTTGAGTTTTGCCATTGTGCATTAACAATGGAGTCTTATACAAAAAAAACCTGAGAGTTTTCTGGGGTAATTAGCAATACTGATCCTGGACAATAGTTTTCTTAACTTAACATGTGATCACAAAAAGGCTATGCCATTATTTCCAAAGGTGATAACTGCTGTTTTGAGTCTATACTCTATTTAGTCAAAACAAAACACTGAACTGTTGCAGTTGAGTTAAAAGGCTATCCTATGTTTTCCACTAGAATTATTTTGTATAATATATTGAGGGCATAATGTCCTTGATTGTAAATCACAAAGATGCACAATTACCTATCATTCTTGCCTCTGTTTACTATTTTCATTCCACAGGGATTTTTCTAGTTACAAATAAATCAAGATGTGAATGGTGGAGCAATGGAATAAACTGGGTAGATTTCATCAGTCCATGAAGTAATATGCAAAGAAACCTATGGCTGGTAATAAACCAGTAATAGCTCTTCTGTGTTAAATGCACTGGTGGCTCAAATCTGATTTAGTACACATCTGTATCTAATTTGCAAGAAATGGAATAATTAGCCTACTGAGATGACAAAATTACATGACATCTAATGTCTTTATCATTATTGATCATAATCATCTTGCAGTCAATTACCTGAATGTTGTTGATACCATATTATTGCCTTCCACATATTGGACCATAATTTCTTGATTCTATAGTGGTCATGCTGACTGGCAATTCTGAAACTCTGGTTTGATCTTTTCTCTGCTATTGTGTTTTATCACTGATTTCACAAACAATATAAAAGGAGGATTGCAAATTAAGTGTGCATCATTTTCGAAGAGCATCTTCAGTATAGCAAACTGAAATAATTTTAGCTTGGGGGAGTGTAGGACAATTTGTGAGATAAACTTGAAATGTAAAAGCATAAAAATTACTATTGCTTTGTGTTGCGTTTCCAATATCTTTTTTTAAAAAATAAAGTACTCCAAATCTCCAGTCATAACATTCAACCAAATGTTTACACATTTTGTTGCATTAGTATTTCCCCCCTTCCCCCCAGAAAACCATTTGCAGGGCTTTTATGAGCATTAATATATTACAGGTATAGTGGCCATGAAGTTACAACAGCATTGAAAAAGTGACTTATGACCATTTTTCATACTTACGATCATTGCAGCATTCACATTCAGATGTTTGACAACTGACTCACATTCGTCTGTGAGTCAGACTTTTAGTAAAAGTAAAAGTGAAAGTAAAGTAAAGAGTAAAGTAAAAGGTCTGACTCACAGAGCCGAAACGTTGCTACAACTTTAAAAGCACAAGTATAATGACGTGGGAAAATACCTGAACAAAGCACACACACATATATACATTTTACAGCAAAGTTTGAGTGATAGTTACACTTACATTTTTCTATCATTGACATATTCTACCTTGTTATAATAACTTCCTTGTCCTTTTAGTGTCTTTAGTTCTATACATAGTTTTTAAATTTGATTAAAACAGGTAGAAGAACTGTCCAATTTGAAAAGTGGGTGAAACTTTAGTATTATCTTCATTAAACTGTGCTGATATATACATTGTTACTGTTTAAGATAGCACAGAAACAATAGAAGGATTATAGAAGGATTCTGTAACATGTTTATTCACATCGAACTCATCTTAAATTATAGACACACTGAGAAAATTCAGTCTTGAAAGAATTAAAGAGCATCATTAGAATAACATCTTGGTTTTTTTCAACACCTCGGAACGATGATCATAGCCATTATGATTAAGGAGCACACAATTTCTGAAATATTACGTTTAGTTATAAATAAAAATGGTCAAAATTAATTGCCCTGATAAAGAGTATGAAGTATTAAAATACTAGGTAGAACTAACTATGGATGTAATGAAAGGGAGAGACTGGACACCTTGACATTGATAACTCAGTGGCTGTATAAACAAGTCCCTTTGAGAAATTGGCAAACCAGAAGGAAAAAGAGCCATTAGTTTTAATAAGAATATCTCACTTTCCCCACTGAAAACTGCAGAGGGTGGGGGTATCGGATATGTAAAACAGACAAGGACAAATCTGCATAGCATTTTTGTTGTAGCAGTAACTATAGCATGTTATTGTAGAGTAGTAATCATATTGTAGAGGAGTTTAAAAAGAATCCTCGAGGCATCCATCAGATAACATAAAATAGTTGTTTGGGATGTATCACACTAGACTAGGGCAAAATTGAATGCCACATAAGGAAAACTACGTTTGTTGTTGAAGGCATGCTGAAATAAATAATTATTTTATCGAAGAGGGATTTCCCCTTCTAAAAATGCTCTTATTTTGTGCCTTTATGTTAGATCTCTTCTCCCCCCTCCCCTCTTAGATCTATGGTTTATAACTGAATCTTGGGATGGCAGACAAGGCTCACAGATACTTTGACAAGTTAGGGGAAAGAGTGTATTTGGGGAAGGTGCAGGATCTATGTAGAATTGAGTTTTCAAAGAGCAGTACACCAAGGAGCGCAGCTCATACAGTTTGCTGAGCCTCAGATCAAAATGCGGATGCAACCCAACTGACTGTGGTTGATTCCATGAGCCCTGACTCAGTGCAATGGTTGAGCAGGAACTTTGCATGGAAAGATGGACAAGTTCCTCTGAGTTGTTTCCCCCCCCCTTCCATATGGGTGGCAGACTGGATCCCACAAACAGATAGGCGTGCCTTTCCTAAAAGGAGTAGCAATGGCAGTTGATAAGCCCTATTTTGTATATATGCATTCCCTATTGCTCGTTTCTTCAGCTACGGAGTATCTCCCGTCCTCTTTATAGGATCAAAGAGAGCACGAGAGATCTTGGGGGGGGGGGGGG